GTGCTTTTCGGTTTTTTGTTCTCCTTGTTTATGTATGTGACTGTTTTGTCTGCTTGCACGTCTGCACACCAGAACAGGGCACCGGATCTTTAGGTTCTATAGTTAAAGCTGGTTGTAAAGTGCTGTGGAGCCGCTGGGAATTGAACTTGGGTCCTCCGGCAGAGCAGAGCAAACCCCCTGAGCCTGCCTCACTCTCCGAAAGAGATCCTCACACCTCCCCACCTGTCCCAAGGGAAAGCTTTTGTAAGGCATTATGGAAGCAAGTGTCACAATACAGCGGATTAAGGAGAAATCGGGAGTAGAGCCGTGTACAAACGCTCAGCTCAGGTTCTCTCCTAAGGTTGAACTCACTCCCCAGGCCTAATCTCTGGTTCCATTCCTCCTAAAGATGTCAGTCAGGCAGACTCTCTAGGGGTCAAAGGTTAGGGGAAGCACCCTAGCATCTGTCTTCTTAGGGGCTTCTGACCACAGGTGTTTCCGTCTCCAATAGCTCGATATCATCGCCTGCCCTTTTCCCTAGTGCCCTCCTCTCACCGAGGGACAGCCTGCCTTGGAAAGCAAAGGATGGAGTGTTTAAAGTCCAGGTCACAGTCTGATCGTCTATGGTCACTCATCCCTATTGAAATCCATATCAAGTCCTGAATTCCCCCAACTCCCCCATCATGCCAATCTCTCCTGCCCAGACTGCTACAGGAGCCCAGGGGAGCCCCGATTCTATCTGTTTGTAATTGGACATCTAGGTTACTAGACACACTGGAGGAAACCTTGACTCACAGTTAGTGCAGCAGATCAGTTCTCAAGACCCCTGCTGCCTACGATCCCACTCTATGACCTGGAGCCAGCTGACTACCAATATAACCAATCTCTCTCTTCAGATGCCTGCGGTAAATCTGAATCTAAGGCCAAAGTGAGGCAGAAAAACAGCAATGGGAAGAAAGGCCAGGGTGCTATCCAAAGAAAGAGGTGGGATTGAGGCCTACTTTAAAAAAAAAAATAAAAAAAAATATTGTGTATAGTGTTCTGCCAGAGGAGGGCGCCAGATCTCATTATGGATGGTTGTAAGTCACCATGTGGTTGCTGAGAATTGAACTCAGGTCCTCTGCCACCTCTCCAACCCACTTTTTTTTTTTTGGTAGGGGGGGAATGACAGGGTTTCTCTGTAGCTTTGGAGCCTGTCTTTGAACTCACTCTTGTAGACCAGGCTGGCCTTGAACTCACAGAGATCCACCTGCCTCTACCTCCCGAATGCTGGGATTAGAGGAGTGCACCACCACTGCCCGGCTAGAGGTCTACTTTTAAGATAAGAGAACAGCATGTTTGTAAACTTAAGTCACTATGACATTTATATAGCACCAGGTGCTCAGATGGTATCTAAGTGTCCAATATGTATATATATATGCCTCTTTATAAGAATGCTAATGAGCGGGCTGGAGAAATGGCTCAGCAGTTAGCACTGGCTGCCTTTCCAGAAGACCTGGGTTCAAACATTCCCAGCACCCACATGGCAGCTCATATCTGTCTGTAACTCAGTTCCATGGAATCTGACACTGTCACACCAATGAGTATAAAATTAAATAAATTATTAAAAAACAAAAAAGAATGCTAATGAGAAGGCCGGAGAGATGGCTCAGCAGTTAAGAGCACTGACTGTTCTTCCAGGGGACGCAAATTCAATTCCCAGCACCCACATGGCAGCTCTCAACTCTCTGTAACTCCAGTTCCAGGGATCTGACATCTCCACACCAATGCACATAATTTTAACATATGTGCATATTACATATGTAACATAAATTTAAACAAATTAGCATAAATTTAAACAATTTAAACAAATTATTAAGAAAAAAAAGAACCCTAGTGAGGTAAGCATCCCTAAACCGCCATTTTGCAGACAAGAACACTAAGGTCCAGTAAGTAACTTTATCCGAAACCACAAAGCAGTAACTTGTGAGCGCCAGGATTAAAATCCTGACAGGGAAAGCCTGAGCTCACGATCCCACTATACTAAAGCATATGTCACAGATGGGAGAAATGCCTGACCTGGCAGAGTCCCAAACCAGCTTAATGCAGGGGGCAAAAAGCCATCCAGGTTACTGCTTGAAATTTATTGATACCAGATCCACCCAGCACCAGCCTCGATCTAGCCTTTCTGTCTCCAACCCAGGAGCTCCGGGGAATGGTGGGCCTCACACTCCTTCAATCCCACTTACACACAGCAGGCCAGACACATGGGCACGATCTTTATTTGCCTTGCCTAGACTGATGTCCAAACGGCAAGACAGACATCCTGCAGATGGAGACAGAAGAAGCCCTCCTCAAGCAGTCTTTAACTCAGCGCTGACCCCACCACCCGCCCTTCTTCAGGGCAGTGCCACCCCACATTCCCGGGAAAGGGAGGCGGGACTTCAGTGGTCGCAAGCCTTGCTGGCATGTCACACAAGTGCTTCGGAGAGAAGGCACAGATACTCAGGTCTAGAGTCCAGTCAGGTCCAGCCGGTCTTCAGGACCGGGTGTCCCGAGCCCTTCTTCGGGGTCTGGGACCACAGCTGGAACTAGGTATGGAGCCCAGGCCGGGGGGTGCTCCCGGAGGTTGGTAGCCACATTCATTGGGGTCCAAGGGGTCCCGACTGAGCAGTACCCACACTGCTGGCACATGGCGTCGAACTGTAAGCGGGTCTAGGCCCGTGTCTGGTGAGGTTGGGACCCAGCTGTCCTCAGTCTGCAGGAAGCGAAGCTTGGTGAGTTGGTGCAGGCCTGGAACTCGCCGTTTAACAATCTCCGCACAGCTGACGGCCTTTCCCGCAGCCCGGCCAGAGCCTGAGAACACCACGTGCCTTGTGCTTCCCCCCTCCAGCCGACCCAGCGCCAGTCCGAGCAGATTTCGGATTTTGCTTCCATCTCGGACTCGCATTTCCAGGGTGTCGGGAGGTAGCTGGGGCATCGGGGAGGATGCTGGCAGCTCAACAGAGCCGGCCCTCCGGTAATGTTCCATTCTGCTCCCGTGGCCTCGGGAACCTCTCTTGCTGTGCACTGGGAGAGAAGACCAAATGAGAGATAGGAATATGACCAGGTGCGTCCTCCATCACTCCGTCCGGGACATGGTCCTGTTCCTTGCCACGGAAGGGGATACACCCCTCATCCTAGCTTCTCAAGGCTGGGCCAAGAGTTACCCCTAGTGCCTTCTCGAAGTCCTTTCACGAGTCTCAGACACAGACAGAACCAAGTCCCCCTCCCCTCCCCCCGCACCTAACCCAAGCTATCTGGGATAGGGCCATGCTTCATCATCTCAAGCTCTTCAGGGCTAAGTCCCGGACCCTCACCCACAACTCGCTAAGAACAAGAGCATCTGGGCTTCTGAGGACTGGGACAAGGGTCCCTCACTCTGCCTTCAGGGAACAGGAGCAAGACTCTTGGCCCCAGGTTGTCTGGGGCACAGCCACGAACTCGCACAAAGTACTCCCGAAGGAAAGACCCGACCCCTCCGAGCTCTCGGCCGGGCCGGGTTAGAGGGCTGGAGCCAGGCCACCCGGGAACTCGAGAGTGGGCGCTCGCACGGAGGACTGCTCGGACCAATCGTGGGAGGTCCGGCGAACTCCCCGGTCGTGGGCCGCTGTCCCAGGCAGCAGATATCCCCTTTCCCCACGTCTGAGTCCCAGCCCCTGGAATTGGGCTCTTACCACTGTGGCCAGTCCACGCTCCAGCCTCCCGGCGTAGACAAGATGGCGCGCGGACCAGGAGCGCGCGGGGTCTCGGGGCCGCGCACGCAGGGGGCGGGGCCTGAGGCGAACCCGGGAGGCCGTGCGGCTCAGCGGACCTGGTACCCGCACCTCGCCAGCCTTCTGCGGTTCGTGCGGTGTTGCCGGAGCACGCCAGCGCTTGTAGAGGTGATGCCCGGGAGAGGAACACCTATCGGAGGAGTCCAGCACCTGAAGAACGCGGATTTGTGCCCTTAAATGATGGATGGCGCGCGTCACCATTGACACACCAGATCAGTGAAGGTGGATACAAACTAAGGAAAGACCCTTAGTTACGGAGTTCTGAACTCCAGGGACACTGGACAACCCAGGCGATCTTCAGTAGGGACTAAGTCTTAGCTTGTGCACAACTCATTGCCCGCAGAAGATTGGCGTATAGGCTGGAGGATCCGATAGTGGTGACCCTGGGAAGGGCCTGTGCCCTACACACCATCTTAGCGCTTCGGCCCCGGGGGCGTGCCCACAGAGCCTAGTACAGTATCTAGAGTAACATAGGCTCTCCAATATTTGTCCAGTGATATGCTAATTAACCACCGAAATGGCAAGAATTGAGAAGAAATTTAACTTTTAATTTGGTAAAAAACTCATAGGAAGCTTTGGGGAAGAGCCGGCAACTATTTGGTTGGAATAGTCGAGGATGATTGCTAGTTTCCGATTATTTTGGACACGCCGCATTTTGCATGCCAGCAACACTGGGGTTGCGTGGTCTACAGGCGATTGAAGAAGCCGAGGCAGTCCCTCAGACCACAAGAGGGCAGCAGACACTTGGTGGAGCGCGGTGCTTTCCTATCCATATTCTCTGCTTCTCATTCCCTCCCCCAGATTTTGAAATTTACTACATCCAAACCTCTTGGGCTCCTCTTCTGGCTACTGGTATTTGGTAGGCACAAAGTTATGCTGCCTTGGCTCTAAACGTACCTGCTTGTTCCTCCATGACCATCCAGGCAGATGGGCACACCTGGTAGGCCTACCACTTTCCTGGTCTTTCCCCAAACTCTATACGTAGATTAGGTGACCCTACCTGTGCCCTCGTTACCTGCCATGGGATCTGGTTCTTAGAGGGTAGTTGGCAAATGTGGGATAAATAAATAAACAATGCCCCTCGGTATCAATCAGATGAGCATTCTACATCTCTCAGTAAGCTAGACCAGTACAGCTCCCGGGCCCACCCTGATGGGGGTTGACAGCTCTCTGTGTCACCACTCTGTTCTCACAGCCACGCCCATCCTAGCACCGCAAGCCAACACACTCCTTCAGGGGTCGGTTTATTGTCAGTGGAATAAATACACAGGTGGGGTGTGCCAACCACGATGCTAAGGTAATCCGATCTCTGAACGCTGGGCCCCAGTCGAGCACAGAGGTCTTTGCGTTCAATAAATACAAAGCTGCTTCTGCCCTGTAAAGACAGGCTGGCTGTCACAGGACCCTGGAGCTGCCCGCCTTTCCCTGGCCTGGCCTCGCAAGCCGCTGTCATTCTTCTGCTGGCTTCACTTGCTTGGCAGCCTCCAGCTGGCAGAGCAGTTCATCCCACTGCACGAACTGCTTGGAGAGAAGCATTGTCTGCTCGCAAGTCAAGGTGCTAACGGGGGTCTGAACGGGGAAGCAGAGAGACTGTGCATGTGCCCAGAGGGGTGGAGGAGGGAGAGGGCAGAATGGGATGAGAGCTTAGGGGGAGCAGAACAGGCTGGAGGAGAACACCCACTAGGCCCACAAGCACGAAAGATACAGTCTTGTTATACTCCTCCAGCAGAGCCTTGGACTCCTCGGTGATGTCCACACACTGGTCCTGTGGGCCAGAGGATAGCTCAGAAAGGAGTTGAACAAAGTCCAATCCCCCACTGAACTGCCTGCCTCATCATTCCCTTCAAACCTAGAGAGGACGGTGCTTAGAGAACCCAGAGGAAAAAGAACAAACTGCAAACAGGCATTTTCAGTCCTAGGCCCCGTGCCCTAGACAGCAGCCCAAGGTTTCCACGCATTAACACCCCCTCCTCTTCTGTCCTTATGTTTTTAAAGGATTTATTTATTTTTATTTTATGTGTTTGGGTGTTTTGCCTGTATGTGTGCACCATGTACAGGCAATACCCTAAAAGACCAGAAGAGGGCGTCAGATCCTCTGGAATTGGAGCTACACAGAGGTTGGTTTTTAGTGGCCATGTGGGTGTATGGAACTGAACCCAGACCCTTGGCAAGAGCAAGTAACCCTAAGGGCCAAGCCACTTCTCCAGCCTCTTTGTCCCTATTTCTAAAAAGTCTCTGAACTTGAAGAAAGATATTTCACCCATAGTCAAAAACAAATTCCCAGGGATTATTTGGTTCCTCTCAACCTCACCCTCTACTGTGGAAGGCAAGAGACCTAGGCAAAGTCCTTCCCCTCTCCCACATTTCCTCTGCTGACCACACAAGGGTCTAGGAGCCTCCCCGGTGTCAGCAGACATGGTGACACCATCTCTGCCTTCCCTTCTGGTCCCCTCTCCTTCCATACCTGCTGCTGGATGTGGATCTGAGCCAAGCGCTGCAGGCGGGCAGCATGCTCGGGAACGGCTGTAAAACACAACGCATGCTGCCAGTGATGCCTGTGCCCTCCCCCGGGACTGCTCGATAGTCTATTAGGTCGTCGGCAGGATTAGAGTATTGAGTAGAGAAGCTAAACAAACGCCAGGCTTCATCGACCCCTGTAAGCTGGAGGTGACGGCGGGGCTCCCTGCCCACCCCAGCCTTGCTCCAGGACCCATGGGGTGGGGGTAAGGGGAGAACAGGTACCCGGAAGGCAGATCCATAAAGCCCTCAGTATTGCTTCCTTAGAGCAGGGCCATGTAAAGAGAGCTTTACCTGTTATAGGCCCTGCCCCTTCTCTGAGCCCAGCAGGGCTAGGGCTCGCTGGCCTAAGGGATAAGGAACTTAGGTGGGCTGGGAATGAATACCAGGTCCCTACACGGGCCCCTTGGGCTCCGACACGGAGAACCTTGACCACCATGTTACGCCTGCAGCTTTAGGCTGTCAGATACTCAAGCGGGTAGCTGATCAGGACAGGGAGAGGGAGCTGAGAGAAATACCTCTAGAGACAGACAAGATGGATATCTGGATTCAATTAAAGCCGCTGCCTGCTTGTCAAAGCTCAGGCCCAGGACTCTCTTAGCAAATGCAGCAGAAAACATTCACACAGTCGGCAGGAGCCCTGACAATAAAACCTGGACTCTGCAGCACCCTGAAGGAGATGCTTAGGGGTAGAAAGCAGACGCAATCTCCAGAGTTGGGACTGCTGGAGTCTGTGCTGGTGTCCTAGGCCCAAACTGCCTGAGGTCCTGGACCTAGGCTCTTACTTGCAAATTTTAACCATAGTCAGGAGCAGCTACCCACAGGGTAGGGAAACGATAAGGAGCAGATCCCGCATTCACACAGGGAAGCCTTGACCCCACCAACCACCTCCCCAAGCACGAGAATGGAGCTGCAGTCCCAGAGGGGTACCTTTGATAGATGCGCTGTCCAGCATAGGCATCAAGGCGTCCACTTGTTCCAAGAGTGCCACCTGGGAGAGGATGAACTGTTCCTCTGCGGGACACAGACAAGACAGCAGCGGTGAGGCGAGCATGGGCGTTGCTACAGCTCTGTACCAGCGGGCGCAAGGCTGGGCCCCAGAGCTCTGAGCAGCAACTGTGCCCACTGGTCCCCTCCCCTGGGTGTTCAGTCCTATCCCACCTGGCCTTTCCTGGGTGCCCCTGCCTGACCCATCCTAAGCCTAAGAGCATTTCAGTCTATACAAATCCCTGCCCCCAAGTTTCAAACCCAGATCCTTCTTCTCCAAGCTCCAACCGACCACTTAACAAGGGCTCCAGGAAAGATCTGGAAGAGGAGACACGCAGCAGACTGTCAGGCAAGGTCTGCTCATGGGCCTTCAGAGCTGAGCCGGACTGGGAGAGGCCAGGGCAGAGCAGCAGGACCTGGGCTCTTCATGTACAGGGGGTTTCAGCACCCTGAAATCCATAGAGCGGAAGGAGCTCGAGAGCGAGGCTGTCATGTGCAAACGATTGGGGGAAAGGACACCCGGCCATCAGAGAAGAGAATTCACAGAGCTGGCGGGAAGGCAGGTTCGGCAGGGCAAACTGAAAGGCTAAAGTGAGGATCTCATCCTAGCAAGGAGAAGCCGGCTAGGCTCATAAGCAGGCCAGTGATGTGCTGGAAATGCTTGTGAAGATGGGACAGCATGCAAAAAGGAAGAGAAGGTGACGGAGGAGACTGCCATTGTCCACGTGTCTGTGGACGCCCACTTCCCAAGGCGGGGCACAGGAAGCGGTGGGGAAGCGGGAAGACTCCTGGAACTGGGTGTCTGAGCCATGGCACTGGATCTAGGAGCCCTCTGAGAACTCTGACAGCCCCCGCAGCAGGAGTTGCCCCTCTTCCCTCGGGTCCTGAGTGTAAATACAGCCATTAGTGTCTCATCAATGACCCCTGCTTGTGCTCATGAGGACAGAGACTTTCTGATTTCACCACTCTGTACCTCGTGCCCAGAATAAAGCCTGGGTCACAGAGTGTGACAATAAATGTTTTGTTTCCCTTTACATTTTTTTCTCTTCCTTATTGTTTTTTGAGTCAGGATCATGCTATGCTGACTCGGGTAGCCTTGGACTTGTAATCCTCCTGCCTCAGTCTCCCAAGTATGTAGGAATCTAGTCACATGCCCACTGTGCCAAACTTGGTGTCTTCTAGATGAATGAATGATACAAGTGCTCAGAAAACTCTCCCTGGAGAATGACCGAGTGACTAGAATCTCGGTCTAGAATGCTGAAGTCCTAGAGATTTCTCCCAGGGAAGATGCTGCTCTTTCAGGGAGAGCCACCCTCTTCCATAATTTGCCAAATAGCAAACAAAAAGGGAAAGAGGAAAGGAACTGGCTCTATGTTCTCTAAACCTCTTAGAAAATAAGCAATGGGGCTGGAGAGAAAACTCCAGTTAAGAGCGCCTGCTCTTCCAGAGACCTGAGTTAGCTTCCAGCACCCATGTCGGGTAGCTCACAACTACTTGTAACTCCAGCTCCAGGGAGATAGGAAGCCTTTGGCCTCTGTGAGCACCTACGCTCAAGTGCACATACCTATACTCCGACACGCACCAACACATGGGTAAAAAGTAATAAATCTTGCCAGGCGGTGGTGGCGCGCGTCTTTTATCCCAGCATTTGGAAGACAGAGACAGGTGGATCTTTGCGAGTTTGAGGCCAGTATGGTCTACAGAGTGAGTTCCAGGACAGGCTCCAAAGCTACAAAGAAACTCTGCCTCAAAACCTGCCCCCCCCAAAAAAAAACTAAAAAGAAAGGAAGAAAAAAATCAACCACCTACTAAACAGTTGTTCCTTTGGCCACATTATAGGTAATTCTATAAAGGTGATATTGTCGACACTAAGCAGGTATTGTTCAAAAAGGAATGCCCTGTGTTATCATGGCAAAGCATGCCACAGTGTCACTCGGCATGCTGTTGGCATTGTTGTAGACAGTTAAGAGCAAAGTTCTTGCCAAGAGAATTAGCGTGTGACCTGCATACTAAACACTACCAGAGCCGAGACAGCTTCCTGCAATGAGCGAAGGGAAATGATCAAAGAAGGGAGTCAGAGAAAGGGGTTGGCACCTGGTCCAACCCGAGCGGCAGACCGCCCGCTAGGGAGGCACGCTGCAGGAGGGTGTGAGGGGGGCCTGAGCACTAAGCCATCACCTATGAACTTAAGACTTCACATACAGAAAGGAAGGATACAGACTGTAAAGAACAAAAGATGAGATAGTCTCGCTTCTCCTGAATGACAATGGTCTCTGCGCCCACTCCTTCCAGGAAGAGCCTCTGAGTGAGCGATGAGGAAGACCATAAAGGAGAAAGTCCTAGACGGGCCTTTGATAGGTGTACACTACGCCCAGCGTTGACTATAAACTCGCAGGATCACCATGGGCCTCAGCCCAGAGCAAGGCCCGCATTCAAGTGGGTAGTTGGAGCCGGGTGGTGGTGGCACACGCCTTTAATCCCAGCACTTGGGAGGCAGAGGCAGGTGGATCTCTGTGAGTTTGAGGCCAGCCTGATCTAAAAGAGCTGGTTCCAGGACAGGCTCCAAAGCTACAGAGAAACCCTGTCTCAAGGCTATATGTATGGTAGCATAGAAGAGGAATGCAGTCACTGCGTGGCTCTTCCACAGCTGATACCCTCAGGAGCCTGTGCACATGGAGTCTAGCATCACCTGCTAAGATGAACTGCAACTTTGAAGCATCAGGCATGGCGATGCGATCGATGTATTCAGGATCCAGGTATTTGATCAGGTCTTCAACTAGCAAGGTTGCAGGAAAGAAAAAAAAAAACAAACAAAAAAACAGAAACAGGACCTTAGTTTATAAAGGAAATCAAGAGACTGGCAAAATGGTTGAACAGGTATAGGGAATTGCTGCCAAGTCTGGTGACCTGAGTTTGATCCCTGGAACCTACATGGTGAAAGGAAAACTGACTCCCACAGGCTGTCCTCTACCCCCCCCCCCCCACACACACATACACACACAATACATAAATGTTCATACATGCACACACAATACATAAATGTTAAAAATATTCAAGTTTGGGAAAGGCTAATCCTTGGGGAGATCCCTGAATTATGAGCTGAGCACACAGTGCCAGATCAGCAGCATCCATCGGGTCCCCTACTCCCCAGATCATCTAGTATCACCATCTGCGGGCTGACCTCATGCTTTGGGGCCAAAACCAAAAAAGCTGCCACCGCTCTGCCACACCCCTCCCCCCAGATTCCCGCTGACCTAGTCTTCGCCAGGGTGCCTTTCTCCTCAGTGCCACAAGACATTCTGTCTAATTCCTAGTCACTGAAACAGTTACTAGCTACAGTCATTTAAAATGTTGGCTGAACCAACACTGCCCAGCAAAATGCCACATCCTGTCCCCCTTCTCCACCGGGGAGAGCTCTGTGGAAGAGCTTACTTTCAGCTGCCAACCCTGGACACTGGGCATAGGCCTGGCATTCGTCCATAAGAAGGCACGCCCCAGTCTACCACATCAGCAGTCGCATGCCTTCCGTTCTCGAGGGGTTGTTCTAGTGACAGACGGGCTGAAGGGCAGGGAGGCAGAGCAACTGGACGCCTAACAGAAGTACTTACTCTTTTTGTAGAGAATCTTCACCCTCTCCCTCTTGCTGGCAATGTTCCCTAAAGCCACCTGCACCTTGACCAGACCGTCAGCCACCTGAAAGGAAGTAGAGGTTAATTCCAAAGTTAGACACTTGAATTAAGACTGGGAAGAAACTGGGTGTGATGGTTCATGCCTTTATATAATCCCAACACTCCGGAGGCAGAAGCAGGCAGATCTCTGTGAATTAGAGACCAACCTTTGTAGAAATAAAAGCTAGCTAAAGGATAAAACAATTATATTTTTATTTATCATAAGGGGGAAAACTAATGAAACAGGAAATGAGAAGTCTAAGTTCTGCTGTGTCCCGCGGGAATCAGCCAGAGAGAGAGCACCTGGGGAGTGCATGCATTTCTCCCTCTGTCGGGGAAGCCACGCCTTAACTTAGATCCACTTCTTAAAGATAACTGGTTAAAAGGTTTTCCCCTTCATCTCCCCCTTTTGTCTAAACAAGAGCGATCCAAATCCAATACAAAACTATATACAGTAAGATTTCAAGTATAAAATTACAAACATCATAAGCAATATTAAGCAAGGAACACAAGACAAATGTTTTAATAAACATTCTATTCCAAGGGGTCTAAATCTTGCATTGGAAATAAACTTGGCTAAATCGTGAGCACAGAGATACACACTGGAGACATGATGGTGTGAGAGGAGTAACTGGACCTATGGAAGCGAATGGGCCTGCGGAGGGCTCAAAAGTACAATATTCCAGCAGTGAGGGGTCAGCTAGAGGGTGAGCTGAGGAAATAAATGGGTTATCAAGGTTTTTGTGTTGCAGAAGGTGAAGAATACTAGTACTGAAGGATCAGATACACGAGGACACACACACACATAACACTGATGTAGCAGCGAGAGACAAGAGGAGAAGGAAAATCAGGAGGTCAGAGACGCCAAAGGGGGAGAGTGCTTTGAAAAGCTGGCTCTCAGGTTGGAACACAATCTGTTGGTGACGTTATCAAAAAAAGCACATAGACCTTTGATGTGTTTAGCTCCGAACTATCCCTGACACTACTGGAAGTTCTCCAGTAAATGATTGCCACATCGTAAAAGGGGATTTAAGGGTATCTAAGCTTTTGGTCAAAATTCAGACACGATATTCGCCCACATGTGAACACCCAGCACTCGGTTCCTAACCTCCCTTATCTGGGCCTACTCAGATCTCAGTTCTCATCCCTGCGAGGCTTCTTCATCCACCTGTGTTCAGCCTGTAAGGCTCTTGTCCCCGCAAAATTCATTTGGCAATTAATTTCTCAGGGTCCCAGAACCGCACTCCATCGCGGCCTTCAGCTCTTACTGAAACTCCCATTAGTCAGTTTTTGAATTTGTCTGGTCTCCTTAGGGCGCCTGTGAGCGCAAGGGTGGAGTTTTAGTAAAAGCTGTCCTGAGCCCATCTCAAACAGGCTTAAGTATCCGTCCCTCATCCCCGCTCATCCTAATCCCCTCGAGAACGGATCCCAAGGGTCCGATTCGTTCCAGGAGGTCCCGATCTTTGTTATTTCAAAGGCTGGGCTGCGGACGACGGTACCGAAGTGGCTGCATCCGTCCCGAGGGCGGAATCACTGAACCGCTCCTGTCCTGACCCAGAAACGGATCATTGCACCGGACCGCTCACCTTCCTGGAGCCCCGGGTCCCGCCCGGCCCGTACACCCAACGCTCTAGTTCCTCCACTCGGGACTGTAGCCGCTGCACATCGGTCAAAGCCGCCATCACTTCTGCAGCCGGGCCGCAGCCGCCCGAAACAGCCAGAGGGTGGGACGTCCGCCCAAAGAAGAAGTCTGGCCAATCCTAGAGCACCGTTGCTCCTAGAAGGAACTGACGTCACCGTTTAGTCTTTGGATGTCGGAAGTAACCGGACAGCTGTCAAAGCAATCTGGTTACCTAGGTAACGTTCTGGGTCCCGGCCCTATCCTGGTTTCCAGGACCTAGTTGTCAAGACTTTTAGTGTTCTAATTTCAGGATACAGAGTCTTTTCCACCCCATTCCCTGAGGGTGCGCGTATAAATACACCCACTATTCCAGGACAGATTCATACCCACCCGCAACAATAAAAAAAAAAAGAAGTGAGCAGAAGTGTCTGGATTTTTAGAGAACTCTACACGCCCCTTGCCACACACTAATACTGGTCAGAAGGCAGCTTCCTGGGGGAGACACCATATATTTTTGAAATCTTTTAAGGTTCAAGTGAATTGCACCTAAGCCTCTCATCGTCAGGACTTACACCAGTCCGATCTGAGTATGTGCTCTGTGTGGTGTGGTACTAGGAGAGAAAGCAGGGGGATGGCTTCAAGTTTGATGCCAGCCTGTTCCACACAGTGGACTCAAGACTGGTTGGGAGACAACACGGCGAAAGCCTGTTTTATTTTTTAAAAAGTGCCCTTCTATTCTCACCGGACTTTGCTATTCGCCCTTCCATTTGGACAGCTCAATGCAGCCTGTGTACCGTTCACCTCCCAGACCCAAGTACAAAGAGGAGGCATGAGAGATGGAGGAAATACAACTTTATTTTCCAGATGCGACCCAAAGGGACATCTTCACATTCAAATCCAATCCTTTACCTGCCCCCTGAAAGGAGCAGAGTGGACTCAAAGAGGTGGGGTACCATAGATGACACTGACATAGGGCTCACATAAGGAGACGAGAGGGGTTACTGGGGGAAAGAACTCTTTGGTAGATGCTGCTGCAATCAGCTAGGGAGGTGGTATCGTCCTTTTACAATGAGGTAGATGGAACATAATAAGACATCCCTTTGGTGTGGCGGTGGCATGCTGTCATCTCTCATGACTGGATCCCAGAGTGGACATCATAGCCTGAAAGAATCAAGGTGGGAGGGTACCTTCTCTCCCGGGCAACGATGCTGGGACTCTTAGCTCTCAGTAGCTGCTTTCAGGGCAAAGTGCTGGAAGGGGGCCCTGTGGAGGGTGGAGGTGCAGGATTGGTTGGCCCCAAGGAAGCTGGCACAGGCTGGCGGCGAGCAAAGAGGATACCTGATAAAGGGGCGAAGAGAGAGTAAAATGCAAACATAAACAGGAGAGGGTGGGACCCAAAACCAAAAAGGAGAGCAGAAGAGTCTGGATTCTTAGAGAACCACAACATCCCTTGCCACACACTACCGAGGACAAGTCCCTCTGGTCAGTGAGACGCTGCTACGCCAATGTTGATACCCGTAAGCGGATAAACAATAAATACTAACGCAGAGACTCATGACAAAGCCGACATCCCATGGCAACCATGCCGCAGAGACCATGCTGGGACCCCATGCCACGCAGACATTCTCTCTAGCCCGTTTCAGAACAATCCTCTGAACCCCCATGCATGTTCAGATACCCCTGAACCTCATGCTAGTAGAGAAAATGTAAAATCCCCATGCCAATCTAAACCCCATCATGCCAGTATAGACAGCCTGTAGTACCCATACCAGTGTAGACCACCCCATTGATCTCTAGCGCCATGTTGATACTGCTGATGCCACTGCCTGCCAGATTGAGGGGCCCATCCAAACGCTCTTCTGTCCAGAAGAAGGCAGGGGAGACACATTTTGGGGAGTCAGATTTTGCACTTATTCCTACGGATAGCCCCCATTTCATTTGAATCCCTTACCATAACTATGTGGCTGTCTATAGGAGGATCTGTCTGTACCACCTCCAACATCCATCAAATGAAGTCTATCTTCCCTTGGTACACAAGCCCAAAGCCCTTCACTAACAAGCCCTTCCTCACCCCTTAGAGGAACTTTGCCACGAGGCAGAAAACTGGGGGGCGCCCCCAGTCGAGGTGGGTCCACGGAGCCCATCAGCACAGCCCTCTTCTCTGGAGGCTCTTCTGGGGCCAGCTTCTCCCGTGCAGCCTCGAAGGCCAAGCCCACAGGTAGAGCCAGACGAGGGGGTGGAATCCCAGTCTCTTCTGGGGGGGGGGAGAGGAGAACAAGTCACTAGGCTCCTTTGGCCCAAGCTACCTGTGTCCCAAGCTACCTGTGTTTGTATTTGATTCTCCCCTAGGCCTGGGACCAAAAGCAGTCATGCGGGCTGATAAACAGGTTAAGTCGCTCCTCCCATTCATGGTTCTGCAGATGTGGAGAATAAAGGGCCTGCATAGTGGTCTAGGCTGGTTTATGTCAGAGAATGTGCTTGCTCTTTGTTGTTAAACAACCCAAGATACAGGAGTAGCAAACTACATCCAAATGGGACCCCATGTGGACGGCTGTGGTATAATGCTGCCATGAAGAACTTTCTCTTGAGCTTTAGACCCCACGGGTCTCACGACTTTCTTGACCTCAAGGCTCAGGATCACTAACTTAGAGATTCCAAAACCTAGCCCCATCAGATCTTGCTGCTCTCATACCGCAATGCTTCTCACACCTGAGTCCCTATATTTTGATATTCTCTGTGTTTCAGTGCTTGCATAGATCTCAGAAGCGCCATTTCCCAAACCTCGCACCTTTCTTTACAGGGCTCGGGCTCAGTTTAGCGCACGCGTGGGCGGGCAAGCCAGTAGCAGAACCTTGGGCCGGACCTGGGCAGCTCGGGGTCGCGGCCGGGGCGGGGCCATGACCCGAGGCGGGGCCAGAAGCTCCCCGAGGTGTCTGTCCTGCTAAGCTGAAGAGCGGGACCCCGGTGTAAGCCTGGCGACGACCCTCACGGCGATTGCTGTCTATGGCAGCCTGGAGCTCCCCTGGGGAACTGAGTGCCCGCGTCTCGCACTCATATGGGTACAAATACTTCATGTACCTAAGGGCGGACGGATGGGCGGTGGGAGGCTGGACCCAGCGGATCGTCCCACCCCCGCCCCGCTCTTCACTTCCCCGCCCCACCCAGCCCCTCTTGCTCTGCTCCTGGGCCCATGCCCTCTGCTGTCCTCACTGGGTGCGTAGCGTGAAGGCGGCAGAGGTGATGGTGGTTGGCAAACTGAGGCCGCGTGTGACCTCTCTCCACACTTTTCGGTTGATGACTTCTACCAGGCCACCCTTGGCTGTCACTAGGCGAAACAACGCGTACAGGTCCAACACCTGTTTCGCCATGATGGGCACCCGGTTCACTGGCGTCCCTGGTGTGAAGTGGGTAGAAAATCAGGACACCAAGGTTAGGCCTCGTCTGAGGTCATCTCAGGGGACTGAAGGGTATCCCCATGAGGCTTGGGTAAGGACACGACCCACGAAAGGACTGAAGGGAGGGGTAGGAGGAAGGACAGGAAACTAAGACAAGAAATCAGCTCAGTTGTCCTAAAAGGGCTCGAAGGTAAATTATTTACACTTTGTGGGCCCAAGGGTGCCTGTCACAAACACCTAACTCTGCAGCTGTATCCCGAGAACAGCCTTAGAAGATGTCTAAGAGAAAGGGCGTGGCTCTGCTCCAATGAAACTTTTATTCACAGGCTCTGAAATTAGAATCTCACAGTCTGAAAATGTTCTACCTGTTTTAAGTCTATTTTCTAAATATGTAGAAACACGAAAAGCCATTCGAATCTACCAGACTGACAGATTCGGCCAGAAAACTTCAATTTGCTGGGCAGACTGTAGGAAGAACTTCCGTATGTGCTCAAGAGCGATATTCCCCAAAGCAGCAACCCTCGGAGGCTGCAGGAAGCCAGGGGACAGCAGATGTAGGAGAATCAGCTCCTGCCTGGGCCAGCCACCTCCTCATCCTGGCCACCCCCGCCAGCCGGTCCTGACAAAGGGGCCTGTCTGAGCTGAGCGATGGGCCCCAGTTAATTCCTTACCGATCCCTGGCCCCTTCCACCAGCGCCTTTGGACCCGAACAATTAGCTGCGGCCTGATTAATGGGGGGAAATTATCGGCCCCGCGAGACCTCCTCCCCCTGCAGCTGAGCAGAGGGAGGCAGGGCTTGGGGTGTGGGCAGTGCTGTCAGCCCATGCCACTCCATTACCAGGAGAGAAGGTCCCCCAAAAGGCGCAGAGAGGGAACACTAAGACTACCACGACCAAGTGTCCTTGGGGAGCAAGAACGCCTGGGGTCCTCACACGGGGCTCTTAGGAAGGAAGGGACCAGAAAGGGTTGCTGAGTGTTGGGCTGGGGAGACTTGGGCCAGAAGATGTACTAGGAGGGGGGCAGTGCAGCCAGTTAATTAGCAGCTTATCAGGCTGCTTTCTGAGTGAGTTAATTAGCTTTGTAGAGAGAGATAATGAGTCAGTGTTCAGTCCCATGAATCTGGGGAGAAGCGGAAGTGATGGACTGCTGCCCACCCTCATCCCTCCTGGACCCCTTCTCAGAAAACACTGAGGTTTTCTGGAGAGCAATTCCTTCTCTGTTGCCCAATTCATACAGCCCCAGTTCATCCTTCAGTCCTAGTCCTTCCTGCTGCAGAACAGGTAGGGAGTGCCCTGAGCTAAAGCAAAGGGAAACGGAGTAGAGGGAAGGCTGAAGAGGGTTTACTGTCTACAACCAAGGATTCTGGTTGGTCCTAAGTACTGGGACCCTCCTATCTCAAGTCAGTCCCAACCAGTTCTCCCCCCCCCCCCACCTTCCTAATTGATCACACACTCATTAACCTGCCTATGGGCTGGGCACTAATTAATCCCTGGTGGAGAAGGGGGACAGGGTCAGAGGTTAAGGACGCTATCGAGAGCCCAAAGGACAGGCACCACCAACCTCAGGCCTCTGCAGGGAGGACCTCACCTGGGGACTATGCCTTGAGATCTTCCTTCCTCAGACCTAGTCAACAGGAGAAATTCCAGGGTGCCCCCACACACATTTTACTCACCTCTCTTCTGCATGAAGCTAAACAGGTCATCCAGAAATTCCTTCCTCTTGGGGTCTGCATCGAGTTCATACAGCTGGGGAAGGACCAAGGTCATTCTCCACTTCCACTGGCCCCCTCCCTCCTGGAACCCCAATTCAGCTGGTACCCTGGACAGGAGTTCTTGGTGAAGGGTGAATGGAACCTGAATGTGAACTGTCTGGCCTCAGACCCACTGCCAGGTGCAGGCAGGGTGCCTGAACCTAATACATTCAAGAGACCTAGCCTAGCTAGTGGTACCCTGGGTAGCTCAAACCTTGCATCTGATAAATATGGGGGTGGGGAGGGAGCAGGAAGGCACTTCAGTGGCTCAGTCTGCTCCTCAGGACAGAGTCTCAACCATCATGGACATTTGGAGTCCCAGGAGGGAAGCCAGGCTGGGGCTAAGCTCCACACCCAGAAGACTAAGTATCTGAAGCATTTATTCATTCCCCTTAATCTGTATAAGGGGATCATGTATATCCTTGTGGGCCAGGATGCAAGCTAGGGTGAGTTCAGGCAGGAAGGATGCTGGGAAGATCCTTACAGGCGCCATCTTGTCTGATCTCCTTCCAGAGGTGATTACTGTGCCTACCATATAAGTTATCACACTGGCTACATGACACACAGAATCTAAGATGTCAGAACATAAAGAATCTACTGGTCACCACCACCTCCAACATCACCTCCCAAGTCTAAAACGAACAGTTCTGCGGTAATGGAGTCAGTGGTCCAGAGAAACAGTTTCTCAGCCTCTGCTGGCTGTGAGTAGCACAGACAGTAACATTCCATCCCCCAATAACAACTCTCCAAGTAAAACCCTCCCATAAGTATCAAACCCCAGAGACATAACTTTGGGCCACACACACATGACCCAGAGTTCTAAGTCTCACATGGGTACCTACAATGACACCCACATTTCCTCGGTCATAAGCCCAGAACAATGTCCTAAAGAAGCAGCCACTAGAAATCTCCAGGGTAACAAGGTCCTGAGTGACACTCCCAGTTTTACACTAATGCCACACAACACCAGCACTAGAAAATACCCCAAACTAACCCCCTATGAGTAACACCACGACAATGGCACTCCTGGAAACCACAGCCCTGAGTAATGCCATGGTGACAGTCTGGCCTACTGTCCCTAGAATAACACCGAAAGGGCTCGGATTAAGGTCATGTACATAAAGACCTGTAGTGTCCATTCTGCACAGGGGCCTCCGTTACACTGCAGCTGAAGTGATCAGCACAAGCTGGGAGCTGACACCCTGGAATTTAGGCTAGGAGAAAAATACTGGATGGCAAAGCAGTGTGGCAGGAAAAAGGATGGGTATACCAGCCTGCAAAAAGGAGGAGCAACCTCTATCCTCCATCCAAAGACAGTAGACAGTGGGAGACACTCCCTCTGGTCCTTGTGATTTGTTATGTGAGAGGGTAGATAGGGTCATGTTGCCGTGGGTTTCTCAGGCTCCAGGTCTCCCTCTCTCAAAAACCCTCACACCCACTCTGCCTCCATTTCAGACTCATCAATGGCCTCCAAGGGTCAGTTCGCATGTTTCTGGGATCTCCTATACCTCTTAATGAATTCTGTGTACTTTCCGCATGTTTCCATGGGTGTCTCTCCTGACTCATCACTATCCATCCTCCAGTCTTCTCTCTCTCTGGGTCTCTGTTTTACATCCTGCAGAGGCTGGTAGGGATGTGTGGACTACTTTTGTCAGTGTGGAGGAAGGAGGGACAGCCTGGCAGTGATGGAGAAAGGGTTCCTACCTGCTTGAACTGTTCCTCATAGGTCCACTCATGTGGTTGGAGTCCAGGGGGCTGGCTGGAAGGTGAGTTGGGACACCGGGCTTCTGGATGGCTCTCCTCCGCTGCCTCCTCTTCTGCTAAGGGTGCCTCTCCCTCCTCATCTTCTTCAGCATCCTCCTCTTCGTCATCCCTAACCACCCCTAAAGCTCCCTCAGCCTGTAGGGTCCGGGCGCTAAGCAGAGGAGACTGTGGAAGCGGTAGGCGTGGAGGGGCCAAAGGCCCCACCCCTTGGGCCAGCCGAGCTGCCTGCTGCCTCTGCAGGGCCTCCATTACAGCTTCCAGGCGCAGTCCCCCAGCTGGGGGGGTTCCTGGTACCAGGCGGGGCCCTGAGGAAAGGGCCGTCTGTGGGGAAGGGAATTATGAGTACTGGGCCTCGCTGCACCCACACCCTACGACAAAGGGGGAGATGCGCATGGATTCAGGGACATACATGGAGCTCTAAGGAAAGGGCAAATAGATCCAAGTGAACAGAGGCAGAGGGATAGAGGGAGCAAAGGGACAAGAGGCCAGACCTAGGGAGTCAGACATGTTCAGAGACTGAGGATAGGAAGAGGTCAAGCAAATTGAAAAGAGTAACAGGAACCAAGGAAGAGTGGTGCAGGGAGATCACACACACACACACACACACACACACACACACACACACACGTGCACATAGACACAATGACAGGGAGATACGAAGACAGAGACTGGAGGAGAGATCGGTGGAGAGACAGAGGCTGAAGAGAACCAAGAAGGAAAGGGAAGGAGGGAGGGAGGGAGGGAGTGAAAGGAGGGAGAGAGGGAGAGGGAAAGAGAGAGAGAGAGAGAGAGAGAGAGAGAGAGAGAGAGAGAGAGAGAGAGAGAGGAAGAAGAAGGGGGAGGAGGAGGAGGAGATAAAATACCTAGAAAAGAGGGAGAGACAGAGAGCTGAAAAGAGACAGTAAGATGGACTGAGAGAGACGGGGGAAGACCGACGCAAAAGGAGAGAGAAAAGACTATGAAGTGTCAGAAAATAGAGGACACTGACGGAAAAACGGGATAGAAAGGTAAAAGACGAGAATCAAGAATCGAAGAGGTACAGAAAGAAGGCATCTGTGGCTGGGTCTGGGACAGGGACAGTACCAGACGGGCATAAGGGTCACTGCGCCTGGATCCCGGGCTCTGGGCGCTCTGCAGCTACACTCACCTGCCTGGCACCGCCCGAAGCCCCCGGTGTCTCCACGGCGGTCTCTCGGCCCCGCCGCCTTTCAGGCGGCTCCTGTTTCTCTGGGTTCCCTGTGCAGGGTCCCCCGCTGTGCGCTCCTGCCGCCTTGCGCTCTTCTGACCACAGTGCGTTCACTGGCGGTCGCGCCGCTGCCTGCGGTCCCGGGGGCGGGACCCGAGTCCTGCAGGGCGGGCTCTGGCAGGAGGGCTCAGTGTGGGAGGCCAGGGTGGGCTCAGCCCCTCTTAGCCCCCCAACAGGTGTCTCCCACCTTCCTTACAATCAGACTCAAGGGAGGGGGCGCCGGAGAGCTATGGGGAAATCACACATGGGAGAGTGAGGAGTCCACAGCTCATAAACTCCGACTCATGGCCCTGCTCAGCCTCACAAGTGTCCCCCCCAAACCCACACTCAGTGCCCTCCGTTCACACATTAACAGATCTTGTCACAAGTTCAGGCCCAATCTTACACATTCTGTTTAAAGGTCACTAGAGGGGTCAAGGACCTGGGCAGACTGTGATCACACGAAATCACTCTGCAGGCTGTTGGGGTGAATGGGGAAAACCTGGCCAGAACAGAGCTTCACCTCGTGCCTTGCTCACGTGCCATCACCAAGTGCAAGTGTGTGCCAGTTTGTGTACAGGTATGCACAGGCCAGTGGCCCTATGTCTGTGCACTTACACACTCAGAGGTCTTTGGGTTGCCTGCACACCCACACCAGAATAGACACACCGTAGGAGATATACAGGCACAGACACTTCTCTTTTTAAAAACCTCATTCGACATTCTCCTGAGGATTTCCAAGCATGCGTGGAGGAGAGAAGAGTATAATGACTCTTGACTTCTTGTTGTTTATACCAGCAATCAGCATTGCCCATCTTCACACACATTCTCCAGTCATGGGTCCCTGACTTCCAAATCTGTGTGTCCAGACCTTGAACCAACTGCCCTGGGCCTATCCTACCCCACCAATTCTCTGATGCTGTTTTGACTTGGGGAGTCCTGACTGGCAGGCCACAGTTTCTCCTCCGAGAAGCCTGACTGAGCCTATTCCTCTCAGGTATCCTCATATATTCTGAGTTGCTTTTTGTGGCCAAAGAGACCTACCTGCCAAGGCATGAGATCATAAGCACAAGCTGGGTGAGCAGCAAATGTCTGTAAGGACGACACCTGAATGGCTATGTCACTACAGCAAACCCTATCCTCAGACTTCACACTCAACAGAGCACGTACGCCTCAGGATAGACAAGCCTACATGGCTGGAATCTGTCATGACCTTTGCCTCCTCCCTTAATCTCCTCCAGTTGGCTATCTCCTCTTAGTCTCAGCTTGCCCTAGCTCCAGACCACCAATTCTGGTGCCACCCATGATGGCCTGCCTCTACTCTCTACCTTGTTTTGAAATCCAGCTCCGACTGTTGCACCAGTAGCATCCCTGGCCACGCTGGGGCTCTGTCCATTCATTCCTTCGGCAAGGCTCCATGTCTTTCCCCTCACATATCAGATCTCATAGCCAGTCACAATCCTCTTCCAACTCCCCCCCCCAATCCGTGATGACCCACTCATCTTTAGTGTTGAAGATTCCCTCCCTCCACGCTCATGGATGTCTGAGGATGCGTTCTCTCCTGCAGAACTCCCACGCCCCACTGTGCTAGGCTCACAAAGGGTACATGAGTGGCATTAGCACTTGCATGGGGCAGATGGTCATGTCCTGGGGCGTTGTGGGTGACTGGAGGGTAAAGGGCAGAGATGAGGGTACTGAATTCTGGAGTCCAGCTTGCTCCTTTCTCTTCTAGCTTCTGCTGCCTACTTAGAGGTCTCTGGAGATAAGGATGTTAAGATTCCCTGGGAAAGTAGGTACTGACTTGGGGAAACTCCAGTTCTGAGATGCTGGAGATGACTTTTCGTGGGTCTTGATGGGAAGGGGCACAGAACTAGGCATCTCCCTCACCTCCAAATTCTAGGAGTCAAATGAAATGAACCCACCTTTGGGATCTGGGCCAGAAAAACTACAGCTAGGAAGGAGTGAAGGAGAGAAATAAGGTATCTGGTTTTAAAGGAAAGGCTGCCTCTTTCCCCACTACATACAGGCTTTCCATTCCTCAGAGACAGGACAAATGACCTATACCTTCAGAAACCACACATTTGTTGAGTGCTATGGTAGGTGCTGTTGGGCACAGGCCCGACTAAGACAGCGTCACAGTGACATGGTATCACTCCAGTGGAGGGAATATATACTGGGTCAGATGGAAGTATGTAATTGGAACTGGGTCTGGTGGACACAGACATGTAAACCCAGCTACTTGAAAGGCTGAGGCAGAAGGATCACCAAGACAAAGGACTACCTGAGCAACAGAGTGAGTTCAGAGTCAGCCTGATAATCTTACTAGAAGCAATCTACAGATTCAATACAATGCCCATCAAAATCCCAGTAAAATTATTCACAGACCTCGAAAGAACAATACTCAGCTTCATATGGAAAACCAAAAACCCAGAACAGCGAAAATAATTCTGTACAATAAAGGAACTTCTGGAGGAATCACAATCCCTGACTTCAAACTCTACTACAGAGCTCCAGTACTGAAAACAGCCTGGTACTGGCACAAAAACAGACCGGAGGACCAATGGAACCTAATCAAAGACCTAGATATCAGTCCACACACCTACAAACACCTGATTTTTGACAAAGAAGCAAAAAATATAAATTGGAAAAAAGAAAGTGTATTCAACAAACGGTGCTGACAAAGACCTCAACATAAAGCCAGCCACACTGAACCTCATAGAAGATAAAGTGGGAAGGACACTTGAACACATTGGCACAGGAGACCACTTCCTAAATATAACCCCAGCAGCACAGACACTGAAATAAACAATTAATAAATGGGACCTTCTGAAACTGAAAAGCTTCTGTAAAGCAAAGGACATGATCAACAAGACAAAACAGCAGCCTACAGAATGGGAAAAGATCTTCACTAACCCCACATTGGACAGAGGACTGATCTCCAAAATATACAAAGAACTCAAGAAATTGGTCATCAAAAGAACAAATAGTCCAATAAAAAATGGGGTACAGACCTCAAAAGAGGAATCTAAAATGGCTGAAAGACACTTAAGGAAATGCTCAACATCCTTAACCATCAGAGAAAAGCAAAACAAGACAACTCTGAGATTCCATCTTACATTCGTAAGAATGGCCAAGATCAAAAACACTGATGACAACTTATGCTGGAGAGGTTCTAGGGGAAAAGGAACACTTCTGCATTGCTGGTGGGAGTGCAAGCTGGTACCACTGCTTTGGAAGTCAGTGTGGTGATTTCTCAGAAAACTAGGAAACAACCTTCCTCAAGACCCAGCAATACCACTTTTGGGTATATATCCAAAGGATGCTCAATCGTGCTACAAGGACATGTGCTCAACTGTGTTCACAGCAGCATTGTTTGTCATAGCCAGAACCTGGAAACAACCTAGATGCCTCTCCACCTAAAAATGGATAAGGAAAATGTGGTACATTTACACAATGGAGTACTACACAGCAGAAAAAATAACAACATCTTGAAATTTGCGGGCAAATGGAAGGATCTAGAAAACATCATGTTGAGTGAGGTAACCCAGACCCAGAAAGACAAATATAATATGTACTCACTCATAAATGGTTTTTAAACATAAAGCAAAGAAAACCAGCCTACAACCACAATCACAGAGAACTTAGACAACAATGAGATCCCTAAGAGAGACATATGTGGATCTAATCGGCATGGGAAGTAGAAAAAGACAAGATCTCCTGAGTAAATTGGGAGCATGGGGATCATGGGAGAATGTAAAAGGGGAGGGGAGAGGAAGGGAGGGGAGTAGAGAAAAAATATATAGCTCAATAGAAACAATTAAAGAAAACAAACAAAACCAAAGTCAGCCTGAGCAGCCCGGTGGGGGTTCCCAGATAAAAAGTGAAAAGACTAGAGATGTAGTTCAATGGTGGGGCACGTGGCTACCACACCTAAGGTTCTAGGCTAAAGTCCCCGTATCAGGAAGGAAAAAATTACTTCTTGGATTTCGGGAATAGGAAAGGAAAAAGTGTATTGGTAGTTACTCATTTGGCATTTAGCAAATTATCATTCTCCCCAATTTAGAAACTTGAAACAAAAAAAAATGCTTATTTTCTCATATTTTTGTGAACAGAGATTCAAGAAGGATTCTCTCTCTCTCTCTCTCTCTCTCTCTCTCTCTCTCTCTCTCTCTGTGTGTGTGTGTGTGTGTGTGTGTGTGTGTGTGTCCTTGCTTATGAGGTTTTTAAATTATTTTATATGTGTGTGTGTTCTGCCTGCACGTCCATCTATGCACCACATACATGCTTAGTACCTAGGAGGCCAAAGAGGTCATCAGATCCCCCAGAACTGGAGTTACAGATGGTTATGAACCACCACATGGATGCTGGGAATGGACAGTGGGTCCTCTGGAAGAGCAGTCAGTGCTCTTACCTCTCCAGACATCTTTTTGGCTGCCGTGTGAGGTTTTTATTAGTTGTTTTTTTTGGGTTATTGTGGCATAATACCTGACAAAAGCAACCCAAGGGAGGGTTGGTTTGTCTACCCTGAAAAGGTGTGGTTCATTGTGGCAGGGGATGTTAGGGCAGGGATGTGAGGCAGCTGGTCACACTGTATCCTCAGTCAAGAGGTAGAGACGAGGAGAAGCTCATCTAGGGAGATGGCTCAGCTGTTGAGGGCACTTCCACTCTCGCAGAGTTCCCAGGATGGATTCCCAGCACCTGCATAACAGCTAGGGGAATTCAGAATCACCATGGAAACACACCTCTGAGTGTGTTAATGAGGGCTCTTCCAGAAAGCGGTTAATAGACAGTGGAAGACCCACTCTGGTTGTGGGTGCCATTCCATGACCTGGGGCTCCAGACTGAATAAAAAAAGGCTGAACATCAGCATTCATATCGGCTGCTGCTTCTTTTTTAAATTTTTGATTTGACTTATAATTTGTAAGAGTATTTCATGTGCATGTATGCATGCTTACTGCATTCATGCAGGTGTCCTCTGAGTCCTGAAGAGGGCATCTGATCCCTTTGGAGCCAGAGTAAGCCACCTGGTGTGGGTGCTGAGAATGTATCCTCTTCAAGAGTAGGAAGCACTCAACCACAGAGTCAGCTCCCCAGCCGGTAGGTTTTGTCTCTTGAAGGACAAAGTCTCAAAAAATGTTCTCAGATTGGGATAAACTGGGGAGATAAAGTTAGACGAGGGTTTACTGCACATACACACGGATGCACACCCACACAGATGCACACACACACAGATGCACACACACACAGACGCACACCCACACCTGCACTCATATGCATGAACACACACACCCCTCCTGACATGCAGACTTTTACGGAGGAAGCTCAAGGCGCAACTCAGTGGTATAGAATTTGCCTAGTGTACTTGAGGCCCTTGGTTCAACCTTCAGCACTGTACACACACGCATACGCACACACGCACGCACACATGCACACACATGCACACGCACATGAGGAAGTATTTGGAACCCATTGCAGAAAGGATGTTACGTGTTGCTATGTGTTAAAGGAAAGACTCACTAGGAGAAATTGAGTGAAGGAAAGTTATATGGGTATCTT